AAAAAAACGAGAGAGATTATATTTTTTCACTCAATAGCGGCGCAAGAAAAGAAAAGCGAGATCGTTTGGCTAGCGGCATATGTTTTATCAAGACTTCTAATAATCTTTCTTTCATGTTCCATGTAGGCGTTCAGTTGCAGGTATCTGAAGAGGTAATCGACTTGATTTCAAAGTTGATCGTCGTTGACGTGGACGATCGTATTGACGTACACGGCGCTCTCAATCACACATACATCACCCAGAGTATCAGTCCGGACGAGCTCCGTGCTCAAAAAGCTTGTCCATTTAAAGTTAGTTGTACGAGCGATGGAATCGCGTTTCTTTTTTTTAAATTTATTTATCGCACAGGTCAAAATGGATATGGCTGCTGTCGAGACGTTGACACATCAGGAGCTAGCTGAAGCTTTGAATAGGGATGTACGATCAGCCGACTGTTCCCTTTACTCTGTGCACTCCGGAGGTTCGTCTTTTGTGTTTACTGCCGATTTTTTATCTCACTTGGTGGTCCCATAGTGAAACTTCTGCGATTGCGTTGCCAATCAAATCGGAATTCTAATGTCGTCGAGCACCTCTGTGCTTCCATGCATGATTGTGCTTGACACTTGTGTCTCAAAACTAGTATTTGAATGGATGATGATATAGAGACAGAGTTGCAACTGAACTCTCATGGCTTTCTGACAAATCTGCCGTCCTTTTTGAGATAACTATGTTTTCGCGTGGGGAACAAATGTTGATTTGGATCCTACAGAAGCAAGGCGTTTTCTAAAAGCCAATCTGCAATCAAAATCAACTTCCTGGTGCGCTTCCACTTCGTTCGTTTTGAAGACGATTTAGCAATCACATTGACACATAAGTAATATTAGGTCTTTCTGAAATTGACTGCTTCCCTCGAAGAAGCGCCAAAGGCCGCTTGAAAAAGATATTTGGTTATTTCCCGTGTCCAATGCAACTTTTCATCTTCTTTCAAGTGGTTCTGTGCGACATTCAGCCAGCGAAGTCTTATGATTACCAAATTCTTAATATCGCCAAACCCGCAAATTTTTGAAATTTTCTTGTGTGCTCCGCGAAGCATCCATGCTTATTTACTCTATGGTGTAACATTCTTTTGACTTCAGGCCTTTCCTTGGTTTTTACCGATATCGCAAATTTTCTTCCGGAGTGACGACATTTTGTAGTGGCTAAGTAATAAACAGCTTTCTGTCTTCAAGGCTTCTAGTTTTAAGGCAAACGCTTAATCATTGTCGAACTCCGACTATGAAGAGTATCGAGCTTCATTTGCTTGACGTGCAGTTTTTGAAGTCTCGGGTGCAACTGTGCTAACTTAATGCTAAGAGAGTAAAGTTTTTTCTCTTGAGAGAAGCACTTAAAGATCGAAAATTGACCAGAAGCCTGTGAAAAACGATGTTTACTGTCAGGTTCGCTCTAGCTGCTAGTTACCTGATCATTGCTTTAGGTTTGACAAAAATCAATGAAAAAGTAGTTGATTTTACGTCGTCAAACTCTTGAAACATGAGCATTTTTTCGAGAGCATTGGAAGGTTTGACTTGCCAATATAGCCATTAGAAAGAAGAAAAAAGCTGCACGGAATACATTCTAGTACATTATTTTATACAAAAGAATTATGACGACGTACAAATTTGCGAGAAGTTTGTGTAAATCACTGCAACTACTTTTGAAAG